GAATTAAGAAAACCCCTATTTTTTTATTCCTGTTATTTCGCATTGATATTCCCTAAATTATGTAAACAATGGAATGGATTGCATGATATTTATCAGTGCAAGTAAAACTGAAACCATGTATTTTAGCCAACTCTTTTTACACCTGAATATTTAAGGCATTTTTTGATAAAAGATTGTTTCTATCTAGTGTATAACTACATTTTTACATCTAATTTCATTTCACAGAACGACAGTAAATTAATGCAATTTCCGTCATATATATATATATATATATATATATATATATATATATATATATATATATATATATATATATATATATATATATATATATATATATATATATATATATATATATATATAATCCGACATCAAATAGTCACTTCATTTATGATTAACTTACATTTTGTCACTTACATTACAAGTTTTCAAAACTGTAGCATTGAGAACTCTAGTAATAAATTGAAGCACTTTTTACCTAAGGAATGGAAATATACATCCATCCGTAATAATAATAATAATAATAATAATAATAATAATAATAATAATAATAAATAAATAAATAAATAAATAAATAAATAAATAATAATAGTAATAGTCACAGCAACACTTGTTTTGAACTTATTACGAAAACAAACAAATTATCATTGGGTTATCAACAAATTACTCAACTTAACAAATCTTTTTAAACTTTACATAAATAAGAAAAGTTACGAAAACTGTTGAATTATTCAACTGAAGAAACTATAACATTGATATAACAAACTTTTTTAAAATATATAACAACTTGATTTAAATATAGAATTAAATATATTCTTTGTTCAGTAATGTGAATTTTACATTAATAGATAATAATATCTATAAATAGAATCATAGTGACTAGTACTTCCGCTTAAAGTCTACGATAGGAATACTATGTAGTATGGAAAAAATGATTTCTCAAAATACTACCAATAAATGGGATAATAATGTAAGGAAATTTAAATGAAAACAAATATTTACGTTGGTAAACAACAACAACTATTGAAAATACTTCGGTAGAACGAGTGACAAATCTAAATTTAGTTTAGCTTAATTAACCAAGAATGAGATCCGAGTTTAATTACTGTTATTTTTGATGGATATACAAAAAAAATTATTGAGTTAAAAGATCATTTACTTGTAAAACGATCGATCTATTGCAAAGATGTGCTCAATTTTAATTCAGAAACTTTGAAATATGCTCCCAAACTAATATATCGAATCAGATATATACATCCGAACATAATTCAAAAAATTAATAAATGAGAATTTATAATTAGATCAAATCCTAACATAAAAATCTAAGCTTTCTAAGATCACTGATACTTTTCCCTAAGATAGATGTGTGATCTATTTTTGTTTAGCATTTTAGATACCCCATATTTTAGTCTTAATTCAGGAAATATATTTAATCTACTATACAAATATATGAGAAACTAATTAAAAGATTTATTTTCAAGGATTTAAAAACAAACTTGTAGCATACATTCTAATTAAATGATACATGCTTACTTATGCCTGTTCGCCTCGTGGAGGATCATAGGTCGCCCAATCGCATTCACCATCCAACTCTGTCCTGGACAATCCTATTCAGCTGCTATTCATCCTAATCATGTCTGCTTCCGATTCCCGACGTAGTGTGCTCTTCCTCTTTTTTATTCCCCTTCAGGGTTCTAAGTTGGCACTTGTTTCGTGATTAACTTTGATGATTTACGTAATGTATGTCTTATCCATTTCCACCATCTTTTCCTAATTTCCTCCTCAGTTCAAAGCTGGTTTGTCCTCTCCACAGTAAGCTGCTGCTGCTGATGGTATCCGGCCAATGGATGTTGAGTGCCCAGTGTAGGCAGCTATTTACAATTACTTGTACCATCTTGATGATGGTTGTATTAGTTCTCCAAGTTTCAGATCCGTACAGTAGAAATGTCTTTAGGTTCGTATCGAAGATTCTGACTTTGATATTCGTTGGCAGTTGTTTTGAACTCCATGTTCTTCAACCGTAGGAATGCGGCCCTTGTTTTACCACTCCATGACTTTACGTCTGCAATGGATCCTCCCTGTTAATCGATAATGCTGCGTGAAAGTTTTCACTTCTTCCAGAGCTTCTCTGTCAAATGTGATTGGGTTGGCACTCTTTGTGTTGTAGTAGAGCATTTTCCCTTGTATATGTTGAGGCCTACTGATGCATGGGCTTCTGCTACACCATTTGTCATGACCTGTATTTGTTTGTGGTAATGGGATTGAAAGGCCAGATGATGTGTTCAAATCGTCTAATTGCATTCATCCTGTCCATTATATTCCGTGCTTCCTCTCAGGTGTCGAGGTCTCCATAATCCAGTCGACCACCAGAAGAGGATGGGGGGAGAGTAGAGAGCCTCGTATGACTCCGGTCCATGATTGGCATGCATTTGTCAGTTGTCCCCCATGCACTACTTTGCACTGTAGCCCGTCGTATGAATTCTATATGATGCTGACAATCTTCAGGTACACTATAGTGTAGAGGTTTCCATAATGTTCTCCTATCCTCACTATCAAACGCCTTCTCATAGTCAATGAAGTTGAAATACCGTGACGGAACCCACTCAACTGATTGCTCAATGATGATCTATAGCGACGCGACTTGATCTATATACGATCGATCCTTATGGCATCCGGCCTATTGAGCTCGAAGTGGGGGCATGCACTGGGTCTTTCATCCGGTCCAGCAACACCCTTCTGAGAGTTTTTCCTGGTAATGACAGTAGTGCGGTGCCTCTGTAGCTCTCACATTTACCCAGATCTTTCTTTGTTGTTTTTCCAGTCCATTGGCACTTGTTCTTCATCCCAAATCTCCCTGAACAGAATGTGGAGCACGATTGCCATTACTACGTTAGGCATCAGTGCTTCAGCTGGTATGTGATCAGGTCTTGCTGCTCTCAGACTCCTGATTTGTCTGATGGTCATTCTGATTTCTTCGATCGTTGGTGGAGTGGTATCTATAGGAAGGTCTCTGTGTGCTGCTTCGATGGCCTAGGACCGGTCTATTCACGAGCTCCTCGAAGTATTCTACCCATCTGTTCCCCTATTCTTAGATCTGTGATTGGCTTTCTTTTTTTTTCCTTGACTGGTTTCTTTGGTTTACCATATTCCTCTGATAGTTTCTTCGTTTTGTCACATTGTTGTTTCATATTTCCTTCTCTTGCAGCTCTTTCCGCCGTTGCTACTAGGTCTTCCTTGTACTTCTGCTTGTCGGCTCGAATAGTCCTCTTGATTTACTTCAGTGTATCCAGTTTTTATCTTGAATTTCTCCGCTCTTGTTGACCACCGTCTTCTTGTAATTCCTTTCTTGAATCCTGTTCAGAGTTCTCGCATCCTAAATTGTCCTTCTGAATTTTTATTCATAAAATTATGATCTACCTGGGTCTCCATGGTGTGATACTGTGAGACCTATATAGCTTTGTATGGGAATATTGTGCCACCTATAACCAATTTGTTGAATGCACATAGGTTTGAAATTCTCTCTTCATTTTCAATTCTCTCCCCTAGTTCATGTCGTCCCATGGTATCGTCATATCCGGTGTTTTCCGTTCCGACTTAAGCGTTTAAATCTACCATCAGGATGGTCAGGTCCTTTCCTGAGCACTTCGCTATGATCAATTGCAACCTCTCGTAGAACTGATCTTTATCGTCGTCGTTGCTATCATTGGTGGGTGCATAACATTCATTGTAATCCCTTCCTTCTGTTTTGAATGATGCTTTGATGATTCTGGATCTGTGAGATTCCTATCCTACAAATGCATGACGTGCTTCTTTGGACAGCATTAAAGGAACTCCCTGAGTGTGTGGAGCACTTTCCTTTTCGTGACCGGAATGTAGCAGCATCTCTCCCGTAGCTAGCCTTTTCTGTCCAGTTTGGGTCGTGGTTTTCGCTGATTCCCAGTACTGCCAAGTTGTATCTCCGCATTTCCACAGCTATTTGACTGGTCCTCTAAGTCTCCTACTTTTTCCGGACGTCCCGTGTATAAATTGTTGCTCTGGTAGTTAGAAGGGGCATCGGCCTCATGACTTCCGAAAAATCTCAGCCTTCATCATGAGGCGCCATAATTCTTCCCTTAACTCTCAGGGCAGAGGTTATTAAGTAATATCAACATAAAATGAAGGTTGGCGACCTACGGTTTATATTTCTTTGTTGCATAATCATCATTAAATGTTACCAATGGGGTGAATGCCTCACTTTCCGTATGGTGGAACTCCGAGGTAATTCCTGAAGTTCTAGCGAGGAAATGTGATCAGTGGAGTTTGAGTACGTCAGGAAGAGAGGTTATTTCCCAACTCAGTATGATTTTTTATTAGTTTAAAAGTCCAAACAAAGCTTGAAAAATATCATCTACATCCAACCTGCTTCGGTTTGTGCACCCGGCCGTATTACAGCCCTCACGTATATGTATCTGGTGCCTCCTTGTACCACTATCTATGTGTTCAAATAAATAAATCTACATCCAAACTTATATGTAGTTGGCAAAGGCTTTCATAACATAACCTGGATGTGGTTTAACCATAGACTGGGAAAGACGAGATTGGAAATCACAAATCTCTTTCTAAGGGTATGATATAAGATAGCTAGAATATGAACTACTTAGCCTCCTGATATTTTGCTTAAGAGGAATAAAATAGTTATAATAACCTGGCCATTCCTTCACCATTATTCACCTATGTGTCAGTGCAATTTTAGATGATTACTTATATGAACAAACACAAGATTTTACCACGGTTAAAATATTCATAAATGTTCATTTGAAAAAGTGATGATAATTGATGCAAACAAATCAAATCTTAAAAAAGCAGTACATAATGAGTCACATAACATACTCTCGACTTTTATGTCATGAATCTATCGAGGAACACCCTATACGATGTGAATTTCGTGGTCGATCAATATGATTCAGACACATGTAATTATTATTTTACTTTTTCCTGGAAAGTCTATTACAATACAGTGTCTTATTAATTGTATTTCCATTTCTTTTCTGATACATACTGAATCTCTGTTACGCAATACTAAGTTTTGTCACCATGTAGTTAATAAACAAGTCTAAACTGATATATTAACTGAATAAATAACGATTGGTACGAAATTCTAGCCATCATAAGATAATTAACTCGCATAAATGTCTTTTGTATAAATCAAAAATACAGTACAAATAAAGAATATTCATAATGGGACCGATAATAAATATTGTAAAACAGCATAGGCAATTTGATACATAAGAGAATCTTTCGAAGATTATCACAATAAGTTCTTTATTATCGGTTTCGCTTATCATGTTGAAATTGACTCCAAATCGAATATATTCATTTGATCAATCCAACCCCTGGTGAAACAATCCTCAGAAAATTTTTCATGTACCCACTGGATCGCATTTTTCCGTATGGCATCGATTTGTGATTCAGACATTTTCAGTAATACCAATTCGAAAATATTTGCGTATTCATCTACTGTAGACGCAAGAAATCCAACACCTGAATTTCCTAACTGATTGGAAGATGAACTAGTTTCTGAGGGTCCAATTATATCAGTAAGTGGACCACCGGATCTGTGAGCAATCGTAATAAGACCTGATGCCATGCCTTCCACAACACCTATTGAAAATAATACATAAAACAGACTATACTATGAGGAAATAATGCATGAAACATGACTGACATCAAGGTGTAAACTGATGTTGAGGAACAAACAGAGAAGAAAACAAGGACAAAAATACCCAAAGTCCCCAAGAAGGTATTATTCACAAAACTAAAATTCATAAATGACACCGTTGAAGAAGTCATTACTCAGAAACTACGAACAGCTGTACAAAAAACATTTAATGCTGCCAAATTAAATGTCATCTTCTACAACCACCCGAAACTAAGAACACCCATTAAAGACAGACTGCCAGAATTCGCCAAATCCATGTGTATATATCGTTTCAACTGCTCCTGTGGAGCCAGTTACATAGGGCGTACAATTCGGCAGGTCCGTCACTGCATTACAGAACATCATTCGACATGGCTAAGCAAAGGATAGGTGAAAGTGATTAAAAGTTCTATTCTCTCTCACTTGGTTGACACAGGTCATCAAGTCGAATTGAATAAAGCTTTTAATGTTATCTACAATATTCCATCAAATCTACCACATGGTTTACGAGTGCGCGTTTTGCACATTGCGGAAGCCATCACAATCCATGTTCACAAACCTGACCTTTGCATCCAAAATAAATTCGTAAAACCACTTTCTTTGCTCTGGCCTTCAGTATAACATTTCCGTCATAAGAACTATTTTTCACACTTGTTCCACTTCTTTTTTTGATAATTTTGTTTCTATTGCTTTTGAACTTTATAACTTCTCAACATTCATCTCTTGATTTTTACGTAACTATTATCCTATTGACCACCCGTTAAAATTCTGTTCCTTCTCTGTTTCTCATATTACGCAACGTAACAACTTCTTGATTTAATAATTACTTTGAATATTAATAATCTTTCTTCCAATTACTCAATGTTGATTTAAATGTCATTATGTAATTATTACGTAACGTATCCACTCGATAAGTATTATATTATTATTGTAAAACGTATATATTAGTGTAGAGCCATGATGAAAAACTAAGTGAAAAGAAATTTCTTCGCTCAATTCGTTACTTCTTTATTTACCAAACAGAGATCACATAACGTCCGGATGCTAAAATAGAATAATTAACTAAATGTGAAAAAACTTCATTTTAGCTGAACACAATACACATGGGAAATTGCATAACACGTTTCAATACTCGATACACAATTATTAGCGATAGTTAGCAATATATGCAGTGAACTGAAGTGTCATCTCGAAGATTATCAAGTGTACTTTTATAGTTGCTATGAGTGACTGACAGCCGAAAAAGCAACAGAAAAATTAATGGACTAGCAGTGACTTTTACTAGATCTAGTAAAGCACCATTATGGTAATGAACTCCATCATTAAAACAGTACATAATGATAAGGTACAAAAAACTAATTTATTTACTGTTCAAAGGACATGAGCATAGACACAATGATCTGACAAATCATTTTATAACCGTATAATTATCTTTGTGATAGGTACTCAAATAATAATCAACTTACAGCATGGCACATATGTGAGTCAGCCCAAGTTGTCAAACCATTGATAATATAACGAAATCTTGGCACAGTTTTATAAAGTCCAGCTGGCTTTTTGCTAAACTCAGTCACTTGGTGAGTATGAGAAATCTTCATCTGCCACTTAAAAATCTAGTCTACTGAGCAGCGGCTCATTATGTCCTACTTTATGGCTGTGAAACATGACAATTAAGAATGGAAGATATTCAGAGGCTAGTAGTATTTGAACATGTCTTCGAATAATTGTTTGCGTATATCAGGACAATTGAGTGAGCAATTGTGAGGTAAGTATAGAGTATTGGGTAAATGCAGAAAATTGGTTGGTCTGATAATGGATCTTTAACAACCAAGGTGGTAAGGACATGTATTGCGTATCCCCAACTACCGCCTACCTCCATGGGTTATGATGGCCGGTGTAGGGGGTGGGTCGCAAGAGCACTACGGGTGACTAGAACAAAACGTGCGATCAGTCCATGAAGACGCCAATAACTGGACTGGACCATGTAAATAAATTGCACACTGCCAAGTGGGGGTCTAAGCGACTATCGTAAATAATGGTTAGACTCTAAGTGAAGTGATTCAGAATCAATTGCAATGGTACAGGAGTATTCACCGTGTTCCCTTAGATCATGAATCCCGGAATCCCCTACACGTTTGATCTCTTTTCATACCTATTCTTTTCTGTTACTACTGACACTGTGATTACTTTGACCACTCTGAGATTTGTAAGAATAATTTTACTTAGCTGTGTTAATGTTGTGTTAACTTGAACCGATACATGTACGTACCAGGTTCCATTTTGTATATGACTGACTGAATCCTAGTGCCCAATTAAGTAATAATCACAAAACCAAAAGCGTATCCGCGTATGCACATTTAGATATTACTTAAAATCGAGATTTCAAGCAATTGTTTCATTTAATCCTATAACTTTTTGGAATCAGAGTTGTGGCTTGGTGGTTGTAGCAATAGACTTCAAATACAACTTAGTGAAACAAAACTCTGCATAAACCTGTGTATTGTACAATTAACCAACACACTTACGACTTTTAGTCGGATGGTAGCCAGGATTTTGAGGCTTCGAGGATAGTATGCTAACTTTTTTAATATACAGAACAGGCTCTGATAGTAAATGTTTTTAAATCTGACTGAGACGTTCTGAATTTTCCATAGATGTGTTCAGTGGTGCCTTTTCTGACACGCAATTTTATTTAGCTCAGACTGGCGTACTATACAATATTTCTAAAGTCAACTTTAAATTACTTACTTATTCCGAAATGTTCATCCACCATAGTGTGCAAATTAACAGAACAACGTCCAAAATAGCTTTTTAACTCCTGATAAGGTAAATTAATGTGGAATTCTACAGTATCTCCAAGTTTCAGTGTAGCAGCCTGGTCTTTAAGTTTTGAGATAAGGGCAAAATCATTGTCATCCCGACAGCCACCTATTAAAAGAAGCTTGAACTTGTGTTTTTCATCGCCTTTTGCTGACTCGTGACGGCTAAGGAAGTGATGGAAAGCGTCTAACTGAAGCTAAATATTGGAAATAAAATTTTTCGGGACTTTTTAATTATATTATTCAATAAAGACTATATGAAATTTTATAACTGCCCAATAAACTTTATACTAATTACGCAATTCTATAAAATAAGACCTAAGTAATAATACGATTATAGCCTATGAAGATTTACTTACTGTGAAACAAAGCCGAAATCGAGATGATAAGGATGTAAATCTACTTCACGTGTTCAGTTTAGGTGTTTCTGTTATTTTTAAGGGAAGTTATCCAGTTGGCAAAATATGCGTAAAACTTAAGTTTGGCCAACCGTTAAAATATGAATAATGACTCAGAATATAGACTTCTGACGGTCTTCTGTTGTATTGTTTACAGACAAGATGGCTCTCCTAAATGACAGAAATCTATATTACATTATATCCTTATTTAAACTGAACCGCTAAGAAACAATATCCTTGTTTTTATTCCCTTTTAGTGAATACATAATACTGTCTCCTCACCCGTGTGATGCGTTTCACGGTTTACTAATGTACCAAGTATTTTTCTAAATTGTGAGAAAATATTACAATGGTAATAAATGATCACTCGCAACTGAAATAGATGCATAAGTTATTTGATGTTTAAGGACTCTGAAGCTCAAGAACGACATCGATGTATTAACTGAATGAGTGAATCTTATGTGTATGCACGCCTGATGTTTGACTATCCATTATCTACTTGGTGAACACCCGAGGATTCCAAGGCTAACAAACTCATAGGTTTACACAAAGCGTTGAGCTTACAGAAGGAACATATCAGCTATATTTTTCATTATAGTTGTTTTCAATTATTTAAATAAGTGGTTTTATAAGATTTAACTCCACATGGTACCTTATCGGACGCGACCACAAGTGATCAGGAAGAGTTTAGTAGTTTGGTTTACTCGATCAATGAAATTTGGGACTTAAGAATCAGAAAATATAACTGTTCTAAATTTTGGTTGGAAATGAATACTCGCTATTTTGATGGGGGTTTGTACTTAATTGGAAACTAAGGAACGTTTTGTTTAGTGATACATTAGAAAATGCTAGCGTTAAGTATTTGAGTAACGGATATATTAAACATTGCATAAACCAATAACAGCAAATAAGACACAGTGCTGAGTATCTCAGATTACATGAAGCAAATTTCGGTTCAGCATTAACAGTTAAATTACTACATGAGTACATATCTAATAATTACTGTGATCAGAAAACTTATTTATTTTAACACATAGATATTGGTACAAGAAGGCACCAAATATATATGCGCCACACAAATCTCATTCGATATGTGTGAAGGCTGTGATACTGCCCGGGTGTCCAAACCGAAGCAGGTGGTTATCTTAGGGAGCCACTCCCCGAGCCTTCGACCTGAAGGTCTAACCCACAAGGCAGTGGAGCATCGTAAGGAGATGCAGTCCCATGGTAGCCGGTGACCAACGATTGGTTCATACGCCATTTGTTCCCTCGGGATACTAGAGCCCATGTGCACCATTGGTTTGGAATCCGGTTAAAGCGTTGGACATTCGCTTTTCGTCCTCTCATTTTCGTAAACAACACCCCCGCCACGAGAAGGCAGTGATTAGGACTTCTCTGGCAGAGGCTATATACGCGTGGCCATTTGAGGGCATTTGGAGAGGGAGAGTGGACTCTCCCCACTCTCGGCCGTACCAGGGCATTCGGGGGCGATCAGAAAATACTTTACAAAGTGCAATAAATTGAACTGTCTAGAAGTAATATATCTGAATAAAAAAGAAGCAAACCTCGTGATTCTTTTCCGGTCTAAACTGGCCGACAGATAAAATCCACTTAAATCTTTGATCACTGACTAATTTCCCTTCCAAATCCTCGACGGGACAAGGAGGATAGAGCACAACAGGCTTTCCACCCCATAATGACTGAATATGCTTTTGAGTCCAAGATGAATTCGTCATTGCAACATCGACATTTATGCTTGAACCAGAGAATTTGTAAGCTTTGATAAAAAGGTTGTAGTATAAGTATTTTATGCTGGAAAAGATCCTATTATTTCTAACCCAATCACGATTATTATAAGTTAAAACTATTTCATTTTTATTTTTTGAGAACAATGAGGACGATACACGTTGCAACATAACAGACGATATAGTTGGATAATGTACGTAAGCCGCTGTCTGTGAATTACATAACCATTTGGCTAGAGGTATGGTAAAAGCGAATCCGGTGGTGTCAATATATACATCCGGTGGGCATCTAAAGATAGCTTCCAATCCAACTAGAACTGAACCAAAAGCCTGACCAGCTAGTGTGAATAAACGATATAGCTTCGGAGTTAGTAATATCTCTGATTTTAGTGGTACAAAATGTATAGCAGAAGAATCGGAAGGTTTTTTGAAATATATTCCAAATATTCTTCGGATGTTACTGAAGACTTTATCAGGATTTGAAAGGCACTCTGCATCATTGGTATAAATAACAATTACTATGTTTTTATATCTACATTAACAAAATGTCATAGTTCAATTAATAAGAAAATAAAACAACCTACTTTTCTAACATACACTTAATTGCAGTCCATAGAACACGTTCACCGCCACCCCCACAATTACAATAAGGATGAAAGAACCCAACAATCTTGTGATTGGCTGGAACACCATATTTCTCCATTAAATCACGGTGCATAACATGTTTTCGATGACGAATGAACCATTTAATTGCGAAAATAATAGCATATACAACTAACAGAAAAACCAACAAGGTCTAAAAGAACTAAAAAAATGATCACATTACCATCATCTTTAAAGAAGATAATTCCCTAACAATCAATTGCAGACGACAGATGTCTTTGTATATGCTAAAAAATAAAGATAATCCATTAAATTAAGAGATGCAGTCTATTTGAGCAATTAACTATTAGTCATTAATTAAAGAAACAAAATCCAGCTTCATTAATTTAATCTAAGGAGTGTTTAGTGTCACGGATTTCCATCCAGAAAAGTTGCATACTGATTTGTCATGTTAAAACTGCCAATGTATACTTAAACAGAGAATGACTTTCCACGGAATTCCAGAAACGCTTCTTCAAGAAGCATGAGAACTAAGTTTATTTGAACACGAGGGCTGCCCTTAGTAATCTAATGGTAAAAAATAATGTATTAAGAGACAAAACAGGCACATTGACAACAGCAAATATTTACTGAGCACAGATAATGTAAGTAAGAAGTGGTAGCAGAGTGAATAAAGTCATTCTTATTGAGAATCAACCCACAACATTGACACCGAGTCACACATTAATTTTGATCCCCATTATCTGATAAGAACCATGCTGTTTACAATTCTTTTAGTACGAATAAAAAAGGAACTACCTCTTTAAAATGAACAACATTCCTGTGCATATAACTAGCCACTTTAAAAACTGTACGATTGTGTTGTCATCACAGTATGCAAGACCGATTAAATAGTACTTGACAAAATTATTATCCACCTGCTTCATGTGATCTTTTTACAATATGCAAACTGCTCAACTGGAAATTAGATCCCATCCAACTGCCGATAAAGGGCACATGTTCCGAATTCTCGTCCTCACGTTTTGATGCCTGGCATTCGGACCCGGCGAAACATTGTTCTCAGAACTCACTTCACAGGAAAAGTTAGCAGAGATCTTTATAAATGTATCCCTTAGTGATGGACTTTTGGCAAAAGTAATACACGAGCAACCGACAGAAGTACTGGGACCCAAAATAATTCTCGACGAAATCGAGACGCTAGTCTGATTTTCTTCAGAGTGATGTGTTCACATAGTGAATACCTAGGTAGTGCTGTAATTCCCTATGAAGTGCTGGTATATCAATATCCCAAACGTTTAAGCATAACCACTGCCCAATGGTTGCTTCTTGAGTTCATTATGGCAAGTGGAAAGCTAGGTACGCTAATCCATCGCCTGGACCTGACATATTCTCTTTATTTCTTCCCACTGGATTGGGATAACTCAGCGAACATAGCAGGCAAGTCGAAAAGTAAAGAAAGAACAAAATGTCGGGGTATACAGGATTTCACATCGAGTCACCGATTCTTGAAACCTAGGTTACAACAACTGTTTCCTTAAACTGGTGTCCGTACCTTTAGTTGACTCATTCAAGAGAAGACTAGACACTCACAGAAGCTTAACAGAAAATGACTAACGTAGGCTGTAGGCTTTCCGTCCTTACTACACAAATCTGCTACTGATCAAAGCAGAACTGCGATGAGATAAGTTTTAAGTGTCCATGATGAAATGCAAGTATTCGTTCTACGTTTTAAACGACTGCAGCCATAGATAGCTAGAACGTATTTAATTTACCAGCTATTCTGCATAAAAAATTATATGTTCGAAATTTAAAGTTTACCAAGCAACACAAAAAAGGAAATAAAGGCGAAGAAATGGAAAATAGAGCGTAAATAAAGAGAAAATGTCGCTTTTTCCCCTTTACGTCGGATATTTAGGGGAAATATCGCTTTTCCCCCTTACGTCGTGTATTTAGGGGAAATTTGTCGAAAATTACACGTAACGTACAGTATTTGGATGAACCGCATCCAGAACTAAAGTTTTCATAAACTTCGACAAATTAAGGCACTGCTTAATAAAAAAACTAATGTCATATAGACAAGGTACAAATTACGGAACCAGGCATTCGGTTGAAACGCATATACACTGACTTCGTTTTTTGTTTAGCTAAAGTGTTCTGACATGCTTTGGAGCCATCACAAAAAAATTACATGTTGCAGGTGAGTGAAGTGCTTTCAGATTTTCATGTTCATTATAACTGATTACCTTGTTAGTCCAAATAATATAACTTCCATTCGTTCAGTGAGTTTGTTAATGAAAACACCAGGAAAGGTAACTGAGTTCAACAGTGTTGTTCATTAAATTGATAGAAGTAAAGAGAGAAATCAGTTGTAATGACAGTAATTCAACTGTTACACCATCTACTAGCAACATCAATCGAACGCTTTCAGATTATAGAGGTATGTACATTAAATTCATACGTGAATATATTTCTGATAAGATGTACTGAAGTAAACTTGTTCTCTCAAAAGTTCTTTATTTTTTAGAATAGTAAAATAACTTCATTTAAGCCTGATAATGTAGTGGTAGTAAAAGGACAGCCTGGTTTAGTCACTGATATAAAGGAGGATGGACTAATGAAATTTAGGTCTTTCACTGACCCACGCAATTACTTCGAAGATCCTTTCCCATCTAGTGATATAGGAATCTTTATGTGCTCCGTAGTTAGCCATGAACACACATGGGTATCGGTTAAAGACATAGATTGTAAATGTATGGCCATCAATTGTAGGAATTATCTAATTCTAATCCCATTGTTGCATACTTTATTGTAAATGCATGAAAAACCATTTAATTACGTCCTATGTTATTTTAGCCCGCTGACAAGCAATACGTCATTATCGACGTCCTATCAAGAAACAACTCGTGATTGCAGCCAAGAAGTGGATTTTTAGCAAAGACCTGTGTCTTTATCCAACGGGCCTGGTCGATATACACCTACACAGGTGCGACCATCCAGATGACAATTGGGCAGTTCTGAAATGTAAAATCATTAACGAATTCGGTAAGTAACAAACATAGAAACTATGTCAGTATATATCTGACAATATATTGTCAGATTTCGGACATTTGTAACCTAACTACAAGAGAAAAATTTTCTCTGGTAGCGTGCCTAAAACAAAACAAGTGAGGAAATTTTTCTTATTCTATACACAATATGTCTCAAAAGTAACTATTAGGATGATTTCGTGAACTAGATACCTGGTTTGGCAAAATTTACGGTGCCGTTTGTACTGATGAAATCATTATTATGACGAAACTAGGTGTGTACATACTTCCTTTATAAAATCATCGCAACTCTCTTTGACCAGTCTGAGAAACTTTCTCCAAACGAAAGCAAGCGACCAAGCCTTCCTCCTCCACGTTCAAATGACCTTTCAACCTCAACCTTTAACTGCTTGTTCTTTGAGATCAGTGTCTGTGTAGAGGGAGGGTGTTGGCTACGTATGACGACTTCAAACTACTTTAAGTCAGTAAGAAAAGTGTTCGTTTATGTAGGAATTTATAACAATAACAAATGAACATACAATTAACGAGGTGCTTTGTCACGAATCAAACTAAAATAATCCATGATGCTTAAATGCTCGGTGGCGGTATAGCGGAAGTCAACAAGGGCCTAAATCTGATTAATTTGTCCACACATACAAACGATCCTTGAAGCTGGACATGCTTTTATTAAGAGGATAACAATTCAACACTTAACATTTAGAGAAGATCTGAAATGGTGAATGTAGAACACTTTATCGATATAACATGGATCGTCTATACAAGCGTGGTCACTCTATACAATCCCTTGCTTTTCATATTGAATATGTTAGTTTCTTCCCAGCCCAAACGTATTTTTCAGATGGCCCTAGCAGTAACCATAGTCTACCCGTAGAACGAGTCAGTGTAAACAATGGTGTGACTTCTTGTGAGGTCTGATAAATCAGGCAATCACATAATGGCAGGTCTAAAGTTTTTGGATTACTTCTGTTATTCTGGTTGCGAATATAAATGCACTTAATACTGACCTAGATATCATTCTTACACATATACATTACTTTTGCCAGGAACACGTAAAGTACCCACAAAACTATGGTAATCACCGAGCATTACTTACAAAGGATTAGTGATTAAATTGTTTTTAAGTGGGACTTATTGCGAAGTCGTATCAGCGGCCCACTTGGTTAAAGAGAACTATGAACAATATGATTTTCTTAAAATTTCTGATAGCCAACATTAATTGCATGCCATGCGCAGGTACACGCGGCAGTGGTTTCCCCTTGTATTTTCCTAAACAGTCAGTAATCTTTTTTATTACAGCTAGTAACCGAAGAAGTTGATTCAGCTGTTAATCATAACGGCATAACCTAGGTTAAGTATACACCACAATGCGTGGCTTCGACGTAAGCTAGGAAGATAGATCATCCTCTTTCGCCTGGGAAAACTTCTAATGTTGTCAACTTGAACCAGGCAACATCGATGTCAACAGTAAATGCTGTAAACCACATGTGGATAAATTCAAGCACCTCACTTCTACTTAAAGTTTGTGATGATGATATCGTTCCAAAGAACTATCAAAGACCCACGACCAAATCATCCATCTCGGAGGACAAAACTCCTTCAAAATCATCCAAATGAACTACATATCTTCGCCACCATCTCAGAAAATAACATATTTAATATGAAAAGCAAGGAGTTGTATAGGGTGGCCACGTCATTTCAAATGTATATCTTCTCAATTAACGAGTGTTCGGCTCCATCATGTGGTTAGAAGTCAATGTCAACATGATTCTTAAAATGTTTCTGACAATACATGTCGGTTTATCCGCCTAAATAATAGGTGGGATAGCGCAGTATCTCGTGATGGATTAAGTGGTTTAAATTAGAATTTTCACGCAAAATTTGTTACTCATTTATTGATAAGTTTAACAGTTAGCTATACAGTATGTTCTTTGTAAAATACACAGTGTACGACATTGAAGTTATATAAACACCATAGTTTGGACGCATGCGAAAAGGTCATGGGGGAATAACATGGATGTCATATATGCTAACGGTAATAATGGACACTCGTCTATTTAAATGAGTTAGATAGTGGAATTCGTGTCGACAAATGTGTATGCAAATTGAAACTTTATGGAATTCCTAGGAAATCCTAAGAGCATGTACAAGTTTCCATGACCCTTATGGCATATAAATAAACCGCAAACGAAATGTTCATGATATGCGTGCAATTACTAAGATGAATCGTAATATGCGCGAATCGGATAGTGAACCTTAGTAAAAAAACGGTGCTCAACAATGTGACTAACGTTTAGATGAGAGTACCGCTACCATTTTAGAAAAGTCTGTTGAATGAAATGATATAGTTTGAAATGATTAACATTATCTTGTTGTAAATATTGTTGACCGAAGTTCGATCCTTTATTGGCATACGGGTGTCGCTATGTCGACACATGTCGGTACAGACTAGCTATGGAATGCAGGACTCATATTCCGAATAGGACGAGATCCGTGCCGCCAGTAAATTTCCGGCTCGTCTGTATCAGCAGGTGTCATCAGCTATGCTGAAACCGTCTGTAAAGGACGCCCACATGCCAACCAAAACTGCAAATTTTAGTTGAAAACATCAACGGACAGGCAATGCATTTACATGTCACTAATAATTGTTGAAAAGCAACGAGAGCCAAATGCAATTGTAGTTGGTTAGTTATTCACATCGATTGAGCCAGTTAGCTAAGTTTGACAAATAATAAATGGTAAAATAGGTTGCAATTTAAACACGAGCTTTCGTACCCCATTTTTCTACAACATTCCTTGATTTGAACATTATCGTACGTTTCCGATTGTTTGTGAGTTGTGGTTACGTTAGTCATCTATTTACCATACATCCTTGTTATATTAAGTTGAATAAGGAATCATCAATGAAGTGAAATAATAGTTTTCGTACATCTGCCGAAGATCGTTAATCTCAATTTGAACTCAATCATTACTGGCTAGAACATGGAATTTGTTGTCATATTGTGTTAGGGCCTTAGGCTAGACTGAGACAAAATTTGTCCTGTATACTATTGAACAGACGTACCAAAGACAACAGATAGTTTGCAAGAAGGCTCGAGCCAGTGATCGAGAAATAACGAGTTACAATAAACATAGGAACTTGGGATTCGTTTATGTGCCTAACGTAAGCTAATAATGAATATTAATGTGAAATGATTTGCAATAATAAAAAACAATATAAATTTCCGACGTTCTGTTACGTCAAACCAAGAGGGATGGAATTGACAGAAGACTGACAGTTTTCCAGACAAGTAAATCGGAAATTTCAGCAAGTGATGATAATATAATGATAATATGACGGGTTGACCATCAGCTAAGGTTGACTTCCATTACAAAGTCAGTCAATGTCGTTGTTAGTTTTTCTTTTGTATCTGTTTGTAGATCGCTAACCTAGATGATCTATGTCGACCGATTGGAGGCCTACTCGGGTTAGATGTGCATGTTGTGACGAACCATCTAACACACTTCTCAGTCAGCATCCAACGTTGACTAGCCGTTCGGCGCATCAAAGCTCTAAGGCTGCTTCGAAAGCTGTACAGCACAAAGAACGTTATTATAACAATACATATTAGGATTAGTACAGCAAAGATAGCGAGACCACCACCACATGCTCCAGTCCATGGCATACGACCAAATGATGCGCGTCGGTTTACCTTGACGAGGAGCGACGATCGGTTCGATATCCAGTGAACAAACTACCGGATGATTTGGCTAGAGTTTAGTGACATTTCGCTGGCCCTACATGTTTATTTGTACCTGTAAATATATTTGGTAGGCTAACAAAAAGTTTAGAAGTGTGACCTTGAAGAAATGAAGTTTTGATTTTGTCGTGGAAAAGTTTCGTGACTGAGCAATCAGAGACCAATAAATAAAGGTCGTAGACAAAAGTCGGAACTTTGAGTGGTATAGTGAGATTGTCCACACAGAATGAAAAACGATGGGTGCTGCCATTAGTGCGTTGATTTATTTGAAAAACATTACAGAGGAAACAAGAAACCAAAGAGTATTACTCTCGAGACAAGTTAGTGATGCGAAACGCTGTCGATGTTAAAGTAAATGCAGAAAATCGTTTGCAGGCGATTTATTAAAACGCGTATACGGATAATTCACGAGAATGAGCGTGTCAACGTCAAATGAATATGACAAGTTTCAGATTGATGAGCAATAGGGGGGAGCGATTTCCAGTTCATACATTATCGCTTTAGATCCCTGATGCTCAGTATCAAGCAAGAACGTTGTTTTGATCCATCAAAATTTTCGGTCAATTTGTGTTTGTACTGGCGGTGATTTCGGGAGTGTGGATAATGTAGTTATTTAGAAAAACCGGTAATTCTTGTCTTATTTGTCTTTAATGTGTGTTATACTTTGAAAAAAAGTAGCAGGTTGGAACGTGTTTTAAAGGACAAATAATAAGGATCACTTTTGGGGCAGAAATATGTATAATCTAAATAGTGTTTCCCTGTTTTCAGCTAAGAGTTTGTTTGGAAAACGTACTGTCAAGAATTTACACTGAGTTTGTATTAGGGAATCCATGAACTTGGCCTCATCAAAATTGTTTCCTTGTTCTGCTGAGATATCACAATCTTTCTACTTTGGCGAAACTTTGGGGAATTCCGGGTAGATTTTGGATTTGTCCCCAAAGTCGTGAAAAGTTTTGTAGTTTTCCCAAAAGTTTGAGGAAAAATCCCGAAATACCATAATTTTTTCGAGAGATTTTAAGTAAATACCCAAAATGTTTAAGGATTAATCCGAGTAAATTCACCCGGACATGCGGAAATTCCGGGGTTTTTATACATTTTCCACAAAGTTTTATATTGCGGCTTCCCGTAAATTTACCGAATAAAACAATTTTCTCAGAAATAGAGAGGTTTAATCTATATCGTCACATTATAGCGGAACAAAATTAAGTATATCTAGTTCATAATTTGTACATTCTAACTTAAAGTATGTCTGGCGCCTAACTAAGACCCGTGAACTGCAAACACGTGCAAATCAGGTTGGCTTCAGACCTGGTTGTGGTTGCATTAACCAAATATTCAGCATTCGTCAGGTTGTAGGACGTAGGCATACTTATCGGCGTCCTACAATGTTGGTCGAGAGAGGTTCTGTGGCGGTGTCTCAAAAGTACATAAACCTTGTAAATGCTCTTTACTCGAACACTACTGATTGAACTTTTGGCGAACTGTCATCTGATTTTGCAATCTCAACTGGTGTCCGTCAATGCTGTCCACTTTCTCCATTTTTGTTTACCGTCATCATATACCTACTTATGGAAATAACGCTCACGTCGATTGAATTCTGGGTCATTGATCTCCTTCCAGGAGGTCCACTTATCGACTTAGAATACGCGGATAGCATAGTCCTTTTTGGTGAAGACGCTGATAAAATGCAGAGTCTTCTGGTAGCACTAAGCAACAATACCAGAGTGTTTGGGTTGGGCTTCTCTCCTAAATGCAAGTTGTTGCCTCAGGACTGGTCTGCGTCAACACCAGAACTAAGGATAGAGAGTGAAGCAGTCGAACGCGTTGACAACTTCACTTATCTTGGAAGTGTGTTCAACCCTAATGCGTTGGTGTCTGACAAAATCTCAGCACAGATTCAGAAAGCTCGTTTGGCTTTTGCTAACTTACGTCACCTATGGCGAAGGCGAGATATCCGTCTATCAATTAAACGACGAGTATACTGCGCGACAGTTCATTTTGTTTTACTTTACAGCTGCAAAACGTGACCATTAAGAGTAAAAGATACTCGACAGCTACTAGTATTTGGTTGCAGATGTCTCAGAAATGTTGCTCGCATCTGCTGGGATCACCGGGTATGTAATAGTGAGGTTAGACGCAGGGTATTAGGGAATAATGGTAAATCAGTTGATGGGGTTGTGAATCTTTATTGAATGAGATGGTTGGGCCACATGTTGCGTATGCCTGAACACCGATTACCACGACATGCAATGCTAACTGGTGTTGGGGATGGTTGGAAGAAAGTTAGGGGTGGCCAAACGAAAATGTGGCATCGGTGCTTAAAGTTACTAACTTCTGGTCTGAGCCATGTTGGTAGATGCAGACCACTTGGTTAGGGTCCGCGTGACTATCGTAACCAATGGTTGGAGAATTGGTGACATGACTCAGAATCGATCACAATGGCGTCGGTGTATACACTCTCTGTCTTCCCTTAAACTATAAGACTACAAGTTTTTCATATCTTTCTTTCTACGAACTGACTTTTTTCCTGTACTATATGCAATTATACGCAATCTTTCCCTTTTATATTACACCATTGAGTTAATTGTTTCTATGAATTTGGTGTTCATCTCGCTGTGCTAATGAGGTGTGGCAACTTGAACCGATGCATATATGTGCCTGGTCCTACGTTGTAACTGACTGACTGACTGAAAGTATGTCTGGTGCGGAAAGTAGTACGCAGAACTACGAATAAGTTCTCCAAATCATTTTGTGCATGTGGCGGAATTTAGTTGCATCTTTTTCACTTGTTAATTATTCACCGAAACAGCTTGGATAGGCAACAATGTAATCATTCTTTAATATATTGACACATTCGCTTGAACGATGTCTCAGTAAATAGTTTTGAATGTTGTGATACTAGTCAATAGTTTTAGAAGTCCTTTATAAAGGTAATAATAATAATTAGTGATACCGGACTGTAAATTTCGTTCCTAGATGTCAATAATCAGTAGCTGGAGATACCAGGTAACATGGTTCAGAACGGTTTAAAAGGGTAGTGAAACATTAGCCTTTTATGACTTAAATTTCAATTTTTAATATTATTACTTGATTTCTTTCGACTTTATCATATTATGTTACTTACATAATGCTCTATAACTTTGTTGCCGTTATTTTGACTTCTATACTTTCCTTGCGGATTTTGCTGATAGCGGTTTGACGATTTGTAAATTTATTATTTATTGGAGACCTGCTGATGTTAGCGTCTCCTTAAAGGTTGACTCATGCTTCGTGAATGTTGATCAGATGAATAATTTTCAGTCTTGTTTGAGCACTATATTCTGGTTACAAACTTCGAATTGCTCTCTTTAATTCAGTGTACTTCGTCCATCCTTGTGACGTATTGTGTTGTTGTGACTGTCTTGTATATTAACTACAGACTTTTCGACCTCACTTAACAGACCTTTCATAGTTTGCAGAAAATCAGTTCCTCAATATTATGTAACCGATAGATTATAAACTTTCCGTATTTGAACAAACAACTTTTGTTTAAGCGATCTCATCATTGTATGTTTTGCGTATGGTCTGGCAATTCTGCACTGAAAGACTTTATCTACCCTCCTCTCTTGGTCTTTTAGTTTAATAACAGTAGTAGAATTAAAAGTTGTTTCCAAGGTCTTGATATTTTCTGCTTGGTGTGGTGTATACTACTTATGTTGACAGACAATCAGTATATAGCACCAATCAGAAGTGGAATGCCTGTCAGCAGAAGGTTCGGAAGATCGAATCAAAGAGAACAGAAACAAAGAGTAATTGTTATGGCAATAAGGAAATGATGAAGTTTCAGACACTTGATGGATGGTTTGCAAATGAAGGACTTTAATTTCGTATTAAAGTACAATTGCTTGTCCCCACCTGAGCTCTCGATCACTTCAGAGGATCAGAATAAGAGAGCCTCGAAGCTGCGAGCAATCCTTCGCATTTCCATTCTGTGCTTATTAATTTATCAAGCATTTTACTATAACCCTCTTCATCGGTCAACAAGGAAGTATCCACAATCAGTGATAAGGAATTCTCAATTTATAGTTGAAGATTTATTGTCTCAAATCAGCAAATTATTACACCTAAATATAGGAAGTTTATGACTATTGTTACTCAAAATAAAAACTTTTGTAGGTTTAATTGTAGGATTGGGATTCAATGACTTCAACTTTCCAACTGAAATGATGGGTTTGATACTTTTCGTTTCAACAATAAAATCGTAAAAGCACCACTGGACAAGTATAACCGTTTCTGAATATGAAGTGAATTACTGTAAGTTGTGAATAGGGATAGTATATGATTATTAGAATCACTTAAACTAATGGGGTCTGAGTTACAAAGTTTAACATTACTAGCGGCAAAATAAACAGTTGTTCTACAAACCGACTTACTGTGTCCGTTTTTGTCACACTTAAAGCATTTCGCATGACGAAACACATGGATTACGGAAGTGAAATTCACCACAATAAACATTCACCAAACCTATCTATACCTTCGGAATACTTATCCCAACAATCAGTTGATCACGAAGTTGGATTCCCGAATGGCCTCTGAAATCGCACTTCGCTGCCTGTTTCTATAGTTTAAGTATAAATTATCTAACTTTCTGATCGTTTTTTCACATAGTCTTATAAAATTTCGATCTTCGCATTCAAAGGTAGCTCACTGCATGTAACTAAGTAGTGATTCCTTAAGCGATTCATATGATAATGAAATTGGTCTCCCTGGAATAGCCGAATTCTTTAGCATGTTATACGCTTCCTTGCCAATGAATGTCAGGAAATAAGCTGTGAATCTACCATCTTTCATATCTTTTCCAATTAAGCGCCAGATTCTAAACCTCTTCACTTAGTCTACATAAATATTCTTATTTAAATTAACATCCAACCGTTCAGGATTTGATCCTGCTCACGATTGCAGTGTGATAATTAGAAGTATTCGGGTTTATTTACTAAACAAGAATTCCCGGAATAATGCAATTTAAAGCAGATAGTTACAACATGAATTTACAATAATGGTGTGTTGTCTCACTTAACAATACACGGAAGCGGTTAGAGCGCTATTCTGAGGAACAAAAATACTGGAAAATAATTCAGTGGCAGGAAGATGTATAAGAAGACACATTAGTATTGACTCACTTGTGTACTTTGAGGTGACTAATGCTTTTACTCTTCAAAAACTGAAACTTTCCCAACGCTCTTCATAACAACGGGTTAGGTTAATGTTTCCTGCAAAGAACCGTCGAATAATTACTCCGAGGAGTCCCTTTTTAAATTTTGGACGCATTTATCGCCTGTTCCTCTAAAGCGAAGTTGTAAAGGTGACATTTCCAAGTTTCCGTTCTGAAGACGAAATCGGACTAGTTAAACCAAAATACTCATGACTTCTATGCAGCATCAAAGTACTGTTTTATTTTGGTGACCATGTTTAATAAGAAAAACTGATAAGTATTATCACGGCTCTTAGATTTCTTATCGAATGACTTAATTTTTTAACTTGGAACTCTTCTACTAATAACACGATAGTTAACTCGATGTTTTTGCTAAATGGGAAAAAGCTTAGAAGCCATTAATATTAAAAAACCTAGTGCCTTCATGAACCGTTTTCTTTTAATGATCATAAGTCATGTTTGTAGGGTAGCACAGAGATTACTTGTGTTTATATATAGTATGAGTAAAGACCCAATCTTACTATAATTTAAGTTGCTGAATTCCCTAAACATTTAGTTTAAACACGTTCCTTCGTAATATTTTGATGACTCATCACTGAAAAAAAGAAATATTCGTCCATTTATCTCTGTGGTATAAGTATTATATTAAGATACCTATTAAAAATCAAGTGTTTATTTAGTCTCCGAAACACATTTATTGGAAGAGGGAAGTGAGGGACCCGTAGGTACTTGATAGATGATGTCTCAAAAAATATTTATATCGTACATGTGAACCACTAAATGGTCACAGTTAATTAGGGTGTGAGATTCTTAGTAAGGACAGATTAACTGGCCTGGTTGTAAATATGTATTGCTCGAAATGGTAGAAATACATGGTGGGCATACTCAGTCAATACCAATGTTTGTTTTTGCCTGAAACAAGCACTAAATCAATCCGACTAAGAAGTCTAAGCAGTCCATATATTGAGCAGTGAATCATCGTCCTATAGTTTTATAATAATATTCAGGCCTTTATTTTACAGGTCAATGACCGATAAAACTCTTATCCTGCATCATTAAATTGTTTAATGAAGTATTATACTTAGTTTTATATTTCATATTTTGTAAATAAGCTTGTTATTTTACCAGATAAAAATCTGTTCCATTGCCGAGTCTTCTCGTTATTTAATAGCAGTTAATTCTGATGCTTGGGTCAATAGCCTCATCTATCTGCTATAAGGAAAGACGCCTTAGCTACTAATACTACTGATTGTGTCTCACGTATACGAGATCTAAGTATCCTAGCCATGATTGTCTGGTTTGATCATAACTTTCTATAATAACCACCCTTTATTTCAATGAGCATGAGGATTGAAGTTAGTCTAATGTGGTGCCACCAAGCAGCATCCAAAAGAAGAAATTATGAACTTCAGGCTACTCAGAGGATCCGTCTGTTTGTAATTTATGTTCGATAGCACAGTTATTAAGTCGCGTTTTTTCTTTTTTCCAAACACAAATATGTGAATTAAAATCTTAAAATTAACTTTTGCATTTGAAAATTGTTTCAGACACATGGATGTTGGCGCTAAGTGGCCTTGTGCCGTATGTACGTATGACAATTGGCCAGCAGCATTTAAGTGCACTTTGTGTGGTACACCAAGAAGCTCAACTCTTATCGAAGATGAAATGCAACGTTTGCATTTGTCGTCTAAAGATTCTGAAAAAATTGACGAGTCTTGTGCCGAGGCTGTCTTCGATTCTACGCAACTGATAAAGTGCCAGTCATGTACTTATCTTAATCAACGACAAAACTTTAAGTGTGAACAGTGTTTTCAGGTTCTCTGTGACTCACCAGTTTTAGATGCTGAGGTTTCCAAACAAGCTTCTTCAACATGGTTATCCTCTCCTACCACAACATCTTTGTCACCATCCGGTAAATGGACATGTATTGAATGTACATATGAAAACTGGCCTAAAAGTAAGCACTGTGTAATGTGCTTTGCATCTCCACCACAGCCAATATGTGTAGTTGATTGTGAAGATACTGAGAGCAAGAATAGTAATTCAACATGTGTTTCATCTAATTCATCTAGTTTAAATTGTAATCGGCGCCCAAAATCAAATATTTCATATAATACGCCATTAACTTCTCGTGATCGTTTATGGCTGTCAGCATGTGTTGCTGTGGTAAACGGTGATGTATCACCAATTGAGCGTTACATACTTGGTAATGGTAGAATAGAACGAAAACTGACAAAACATGTGAGTGTTTTATGGGTAAAGAATTTAAGTTTAGACGTATTCCTTCTTAAGATTTTACAGGCAAAATAAATTTCACTTTTGTAGGTACTGGTGTGGATCAGTCACTTTTACGAAGCTTTTTGATTATATAAAACATGTTTTCATTTGTTATTATGGTTGTCAGTATTTTATAGTGTTTTTATATTGTTTGGGTTATTATACAGAAATGTACGAAGCAGTTTTTTCCACAATACTCAACACTTTAAATCATCTCTGTGTAAATACATTAGTAAAATTGTCAGGGATTTATACTGAAAAAAACATCCCAATAATTATCTGTTCTAAACATTCATAATTCAAAAATTTGTTGAAGTCACTATGAACCTAGGTTATTTATTTAGTAACATTTCCTAACAACCAGGCATACATGCAACTTCAAAGAATTTCGTTCTATTGAAGAGGTTCGTACGTCGCGCAACTACAAAGTCACAGACTCTAAGCTATTCGAGCTATGTTTTTTTGTATGTATAAGCTATTCGGTCATTATTACTTTCTTAAAGTTTCAAATGAAATTAATTAAAAGTCCAAAGACCTCGAGTTTTTGTTTTCTTAACTTATTCCACCCAGGCTGTTATTTATTATATTATTTAGTTGTTACATCTTAAATCCATACTGCGTACGTACCTAATTAGGTGAGACGTATAGTTGTGTCATACTGACCTCGTTAGCTTTCTATTATAAAAGTCTGTTTTTTAAAAATTTAGATAATACTGTGAGGGCAGATGAATCCCCATATTTATCTATGAATATAAAGCATTTCTGTGTTACTTTTCCGAAGAGAAGAGTCAAATAAGTAATCGAAAAACAGAAAATTTCTGATGACTGGTATTTCTTGCTAGTATCGCATAAAAAATCATTGTTTTTGAGTCGAGTATCATATAGTATGCGATGTTAATTATTAATATTTAAGTGTGACAACTTAAACCAAGTGTTTGGGATGGACAACCGTTGCATTTTCCAGTTCATGATTCCCGAATCCTATCAATCTACTTAAGTTAGGTGTTTAAATCCACGTAATTTTATTTGCTTAACCGTATAATCTGAGATTAATGTTTTTAAAGCACCTGCAATCAGGTGTTTGTAACCTACATATATCCCTGACTTTCGAAGGTTATATTTAAGGTGATCCTAAGTGAACTGCAACACACTACCCAGTCTATGTTGCTGCCATACACAGGTGTTAAAAAAGAGCCTACAATAGAGTACTCTACTTTGACACACTTTTCAGTAATACTTATCTCCATAAAACCTCTCTGTCTACAGAGTAGATATACACATCGTTACCAAAGCATACATTATCAATTTTTTTGGTGTGTATCTAACAAGTTATTGGTTTATTGGCGTAGACATATTGGTGTTTTTTTTAAATATGGTCTGCAGAATTCTCGTTACATTCATTATTTTTACTTGAAAATTTTCAATAGGAGTGCCGTTATTTGAATTCATATATGCAATCAACTACCACTTGTGATATATCAACGACTTTTTCAAGTATTGATCATTCTCCAAAACGATTTGATGATGCGAATTTGAGTCAGCTACCCGGCAGCAGCTGCTATTCTCATAAAACAACTATTCCGAGTTGCGATAGTGGAATTGTTTATAGTAACCTGGACTACACATCATCAGGATATAAATTTCGATCTGGTTGGACATTGGTGGATCTAGCACTTCGATTCTGTCGTACGGATTTAATCAACTTATTCATTGCTTTAATTGGTCTACAAGCTACTAGTAGCGCTATATCTGTCGGTTCTGGATCTAAGCATTCCACACTACCTGTGAATTCGTCGAGTAGCGCTTCGGTCATTATTTCATCGAATAGTACTACCATTACAACTAACGTCACAGTGTCTGTTACAACTTCAAATACTTTTTCAAACAATAATCTGCGTAACTCCATATTGAATCCTCCATTTCAAGATACTCAGCAAACTCACAGTAGAAACGTTCAAGTAAATCGTAAATTAAGCAGTCCACTAACAGCAAATCAAATACATCCCTCACTTCAAATAATTTTGAATCGAACACCAGGTAATATAAATAAGACTCAAGTCACTAGAAGTAAGTGGATGCCGTGTCAAGCTAGCCCTCATATTGCTGGCGAATTACGAGATCTATTAGCAAAAATGGTAAAACATTGTAAAGGAGAATTTCCATGTGCTTATTTTTCTGAATGGGGAACTTTTGCTTTGCCTTATTCAATTACAAAGTTTCCTGCTCCAGTAAAACAACTGCTGTTATCGGAATTATGCGATATGCAAGCTCAATCAGGTTCGTGGTGTTTTTGTTGTGACTTTATGAGCCGCTTGTTATCATGTAATCTATTCGCCAATCAAAATACGACTTATTCGCTCTTATACTGTACTAAACCAATGATGTTCGACCGGTCTGATCAGCCTAGTGTCCTATTGGTCCGTTGCTCGTCTAGCCCGTCCAGCTGAGCCTAGAATGCCAATAACAGTCTCCACTGTGCGAATAATTTATTTCAGACATACCAGCCAAACAGACCGCGACGCAGCATAAAATAGGAAATAACGTACACAATAAAGCCAAAAAGTGGCTGTGAACGTGGGAAGCAGTAGTCAATAAACTGAACATAGCTTAAGAACAGTAAATCGTACAATAATAATATATAGGTCAAAATAAAGCTTATAACAAGGGGAATATAGATACACATAATCTAGTTACTGAATATTTATACCATAAGAATATATAAATAATATTAGTCCATTAATAGGTCTCAGACGTTACTCGTAATGTAATCTTCACTAGGATATAAAAAATTTTAATGTCAAAACTGTATGGATTGTTATATTTTAGAACATCAATTTTGCTATTCACCAGTCTCGAATTGACTAAATCACTTTAATTACTGATTCAAAAGCGATATAATAAAAGTCACTTTCTAACTTCAAAACGTTTACCTTGCTCATCAATGGACATGCATATTCACTATCAATTTGATTAACTCCAGAAATGATTCCACTTTCCAATCACTGGATTCTTACCTACTGGATCAGCAGTAACATATCTTTTTGTTTTTCTAAACCCTTACATGTTTCCGTTTTTTTCACTCGACAAGATTAAAGCTTAGCTGTATCGAGAAATTATAAAATATGTAGAACACTAATTTTGTTCAGTGTTCTACTGTGGATGTCTTTATTTCTGTCTATGAATCCATCTCACTTCATATTGATTATATCTAAAAAAAGAAGCTGTAGATCTTTGATGCGAATATATATGACAGTTTTCGATGTGCGTCATTATAGTAGATGCACATTACACACCGTATGTGTATGTGTGTGTACTTAATAACTGATTTCTTTATAGAAAAAAAAACACTGACTGTGATTGCATACACATTGTTTTACGTAATACGTAAGCTCTTTATTATTTTGATGATATGGAAAACTAAACTTATCATGTGATAATCTTGATAAACATACACTGATAAATTATGTGTAAAAATAAACAATTAACTTTCAACAGAATCATGAATGAGAATTCTGACTTGAAACTTTTACAACGAAATATGGAAGAACAATTCAACTTAAAAAATAATAATATTCAATTGAATAACAATTATTCCCTTGGCAGGAAGAAAGCTAGCAAATGTGCGAAGTGATTAAATAATATAGTAATCACGGTAACAAATTGAAGACTGCTTTCGTCATTTCCCTAATTACTAAAACTTACAAAAGAAATATTCTGATTTGTTCAATGCTGAGAGATCATCAAGAATTACATAACGATAAACTTCGCTTCCGAATAGATTGTCGTGATAGTTCGTAGAAGCTGGTTCAAATTGTCCAAATCTCCGATAGTATTATTTACAGGACACTTCGCATGATCCACATTTACCAAATACTTAAATAATTTTTTAATGTATCTACTAGTAATATTATGTTCCAGGTGTGATGACGAATTCTGTATTTTAACACGGACTATAGATTCCATTATCCTATGGATCTTTGATCATTTCATTTTAATTATTCGGGTTTATAGAAATCAGTTCACTCACTTTGTTAATATCGCAAGATTAACCGAGCCTTGGGCAGTGAATCATTGTTTGTTATATTATTCTTATACCAATTTACAAGAATGTCCAAGCTGTGTAAAAATAAGTGGTGGACACGTATTCGTAGCTTTTCCTTATAGATGTGTTATTGTTTATTTCCATCTTCAAACGAGCCACTGAGAAGTTTACGGTTCTTCTTTGTTTACCTACTGATGCTCAAAAAAAGTATGATAGAATGTAATTTAAGTGTTTTGATTGTCTGAATGAATAACTTTTTATTACGAAGACATTCAGCATCAACAAACAGTTTGACAAATTGTGTTACTGAGTTTTTCTTCTCGATGTTAACTGTAGAGTTGGAAGATGAGGCTAAAGCAATTAATTGGTGGTTTATTCCTGGACAAAAACAATCGAGTCGTCTATTTGCCTTGTGGAATCGAACAGCAGGTGATTGTCTGCTAGATAGCGTCTTACAGGTTAGTGCTTGGTGAATTAATTACTCTTCATTTAAAAGAACAACTATGCAAAATAGTCAAATGCTCTTTACATTTGTGTATGAAATTATACTAAACGGTTGTTGTATTGTATAATAGAGAAGTAACATTTTCAGTTTATTTACCAAAGAAATCAGATTTCCCAGTTTAAATCACGATCTGATTGTCATTGAATCAACGTTAAAAACCTGGAAGTACTAGACTACCGTTTTGTCCTAGTATGGGATTCCTAAGCGCTGAGCATTCATGACATCACATCCACGAATGGAACCCTGAACCTTTGACCTCAAGGGCGAGCTCTTAACCTCTAGACCACTGAGCCAGCCCTCAATGGCGTTCATGTCTAACTCCAATGAATCCACGTTGTTACACAACCCTCATGCATGTTTCTTTGAGTTTTTTTTACCAAGATTACGAATGATAGGTTAAAAATACCCTGGTACTTTCTCAGGACTTCTGCACATACCTTAGATTCACCTAACAGTGTGCAAAATCTAATGCTTGTGAAATGATTACTTTCAACTTTTTACAGAATGCCTGGTTTTGAATTGCAGGTTTTATTAAGCTTCTGGATACATGGTGATGAGAGAATGTAAAATCAAAATACAATATATGAAGTATTCTTCAACTGAAATTATTGCGTTTGCTCATAACGTCTTTGTGTCATGATGTTTTTTATGCAGTTTCAGTTATTCTAAATACTTTCTAGTAAACGAAGTGACTGAATTGTGAATGGATATCTTTTCTGTTTTAGGCTTGTTGGGGAGTATTTGACAGAGAAAATTGTCTACGTCGCACACTCGCTGACAGTCTTCAGAATTGTGAAGCAAATTTTTATCCACGCTGGCGTGACTATGAAGCATTACAAGCTGCATGTCATTATATTTTAGATGAAGATCAATGCCGAAGGGACTGGGAAAATGTGCTAACAGCGGCATGTCAACCACGTAAGGTTACTGAAAAGATTATATCACAGAGATTGGATTGTTCTACGCTCTTTTTATTTTTCGAGAGTTTAGTCAAGATTCATAATGGTAGTACCACTCATGTGTCATCTTACATTGGTTACTGAAATGGTTGACTTTTACTGATAGTTAAACTATGTCTGCCTATCCATCACGATAAAACAGAACAAATTATATGTTCTTTTCTCTCTGAAGTCTTGTTTTATGTATGCTGAAGTTGGTTTAACTTTTATATCTTCTGCATACCTAACACTATCCCCTCTAGTTACACTAACGTATTTTGCAATCGATCGGTGTAGCATGGAAACTTCCATTTCTCAAACTTTCAATTGAAATATCAGTGAGTCAGATGATCAGTTACAATCACTGTTTATCATTATGATTTCTAACTCATGTGATTATACAAGAAAAAGTACAAAACCACTGTGTGCCACACTTTTTAAATACCAAAAGTTACGTAACTAAGATATTTTTAACAAAACTAAGTAACTTATTTGCGTTTGACAATAAATAATGAGTCGAAACATAACAACACGTAATAAAAATTTCATAGAACAGTTGTTTGATAAATACTGCCTAAAATATATAAACTAATTTACTGCATTATGTAATGCAGTATTTTCCTTCTTTTCTCAACGCCAATAACTTTTTAAATTTAATTACCAGTGAGGCTGCAAGAATGTACACATTCCAACGACTTACCGCATTAGTAGTACTGAAAAACATCATTACGTACTTGATTGGATTAGTGATTGATATTTAGTGAGGGGAGACACCTGGCCTCATAAAGTTTAACTCCCCAATTCTGCCTTGCATGTTATCAGTATAACTATCAACACTAACATTTGAATCTGTTGGTGCATTTCGAATCTCTGAATGAATTCCAAAAGACCCTACTTCTGATTAACTCTCTTATTTTATTGATCATGTTTAAAGCCAGTAATAGTTGTGATTTAATTTCAACTAGTCTTTTAACGCATACAATACTTCAAATTGTAAAATAAAGTAACGCAAACTTTTTAAAATTTATTTCCATCGATCTACTGGCTTTCTGTAAAATCAACCTATATAGTCTGTATACTACTAGCAGAAACAAGTAATGAAAGACTATATTTGATCGACTGGGTGGGGTTGATGACTCCAATTTATGTAATCGTTTGTAGGGAAAAATCTGCTCAAGTAAATGAACTCTACGTACGAAACTTTATTAAGATTTATACAAAAAATAATTAACTATTTAAGGTATAGGTGATGATACAGTTATCGTCTTCGTGTATGACTTTGTTGCTACTCCTTTCGTTTGCTCTTCTTTTTCCTCCTCTTCTTATTATTACTACTTTACCTCTTGATTAATATGGTTTTATTCTAGAGAAGAAAACCTCTTCATCATACATATCTCTGGATGATTCCTTTCAAAGTTGAAAATAGTCAAATATATTTATTGACCCTAGTTACAAACACTTCCTTCATCTTATTTGTTGTTTGAGAATTTTTCAAAGAATTACATAATGAATAAGTGATATTTTAATTTAATTTAGAAATTTATCAGTATTAGTGAATAAGTGATATAGAATAAACATTTTCCAAATAGTTGATTATTAATAATTGCATGAATCCCATATATTTCAATCCTCAAGTTTAAATTTAAAAGAAATCAATGCAGTTTATCATTTACTAGTTTATTTTATTGACTTCAATGTGAATTATGAAAGTAAATGTTTCCCTAGAAACTAGCGAAAACACTTTTAAAATAAAATTTTCATGTAAATACACATAAATTTAATGTCCATCTGTATAATGTTTTGTGTATTTATTTGTGGTTGTCGATTATAATTTTCACCAATTACTCTTCGTTTAGGTGAAGCTTTAGAACAAATCCATATATTCGCTTTAAGTCATGTCCTTCGCCGACCAATTATTGTCTATGGTGTAAAGTACATAAAAAATTATCGTGGTGAACCAATAGGGATAGCTAATTTTCAAGGTTAGTTTATTATCCTGCCTGTATCTTATGTATAAGTGCTAATTTTTATTAGGTCAGTTCTTCAATCATCACCGTATCCTTAAAATATATTTTTAACTATCATCATCATACATTTACTGTCATGTGATATTGATGTACTATCAAGGATTTTTTTTCAAAGTTCAATGTCTTACTATATTATTTGACATTTAAATTGTTAATATCATTGTTTGTAAATTATTTTTTCTTAAGTAGTGAATAATAGTAACTAACAATGGGATAAAAGGGGTATATTTTAACTTCATTAGCTAAATATTATTTTTCATCTTGTTAATTTTAGGTTTTGTTCGCACTCTTTAAAATGCTCACATTATAGTAGTTGCCTCATATGTTATTATTTGTTAAAAAGACAAAGTTTTTCATAGTGTGAAAGTAAACATTTGCACTCGGTGGTATGCGGGTATATTCTCTTCTCCCACTTTTGAATGAAAAAAAACAGACTACCGTTTTCATTAATAGGCATTCCAAAACCATAGTCAATAATGGACATATTTATACTCATAAGCAAAGATGGATGGTGGCTAGCATTGAAACGCAGGACGCGTGTTTTTTCCCATTTGGGACTTATCAGTTGGATGTACCTACATCCCAGAGTTGATGTTCAATCCGGGATAACGCGATGACGTTTGAAGTGAACAGTACTGGGTTCGAGTTCCAGAGTGAACATCAACTCTGGGATGCAGTTACATCCAACTGAAGTGTCCCGAATAGAACGAAACGCGCGTCCTTGATTCCACTGCTAGCTACCATCCATCTTTGCTCATACTCTTGTGGCCAAATCGAGGCGATCTGCACAGAATGTACATATGCCAATAAGAGTGTTATAATCTCTTTCTTACGGTTGTGACCCAGCTATTCCTATTGCTTAGTATTCTGGGACACCGATTCACTCGACAAGTCCCCAAATCAGAACACGGTTGAACAGGAAAGAGATTATATTCCGAACAACAAGGTTAGATGGAAGTAAGAAGCACAATAGGGAATACGTTAACATATTTATAGTTTTTGCATGAGAAGATTCTCGAGTATTCTCCAACTATCGCCTAGTGCTGATTGGATAAGAATTAGTCAATCAGCGTGCACCAAAGCAATCGTGCATTGAACATGCTTAAATCCAGTCTATGTCCCACTAACAAAGAGACTAATCAACTGCAGTCATAAACATCAGTGGGAAGACTCAAACAAAAAATACAAAAAATATTTACACTTACATTGATCTCCCAATGAGCTAGAGAACTGTTCAATGCAAGTAGAAGAGATCATTCGCGTTAGCTTAAATCTAATCAACTGGATATGTAAAGAAAATTTATCGGAGCTTTAGAACATTGTCTTTAGTGTAATGCGATAACGTTCCAACTGTTGTTGAAATAGACCGGATTTTACGAATAAAGCTTATTTATTTATTTAAACCGTTCTATGACACAATGATAGAGTAAAACGATTTAAATAGAAAAATGAATTTATCTATTTTCAGTAGATAATTTAGTAGTTGTGTTGATTTGATTAATTTTTACGAGATAACTGAAAATTCAGTTGACTCGAATATTTTAATTAAAATGAATATTCAAATGAATTGGAACAATGTGGAACTCAGTAACCGAAGTTGATTGGTTTAATTTTTCATCATCATGCTTTAAGAACAACTCAATTTTAACGCTCATTTCATAATTTTAAATGAATGTTATTTGGACTTTTTAAGACAATTATTGAATACACAGTATTTATTCAGGCAAAATTTATTATAAATTAATGTTGTCTGGGGAGGAATTCAGTAAGAGAAAACATCTGAATGAAGTTGAAAATATCGACCATTGTATTTTGATGTGGTTGTCTAATGGTATTGTTATCTATAACGAGACACGAAAGTTCAGCCCAGTGATGAAGAGTCATATTTGTACATTACTGAATTGAGTAGTAGTTCTACGCCAAAATTAGACAGTTGTATAATAGTCCTCCGTGAATGTCATCTGTTATCAATGCACAGTGAAGTCACTTAAACTATAAAATATATCTATGAAGCTTCCTGATTTAACGAATCGTTAATGTTTGTTTCATCCATTGTTAAGAATTTTCACTTATAAATACGATTGCTGTATTTTCAAACTATTTTTAGGTATTTATCTCCCACTTCTCTGGGAAAAATGCTCTTGTTCTCGGAATCCCATTGTTTTGGGCTTTACTCGGGGTCATTTTACTGCGCTTGTACCCATTGAACCGTGCCCCTTATCCTCGAGTGGTGTAAGCAATGAGTCAAATGCAGATACCAACCAAACAACTGGGGTTACCTTTTCACCATATGCTTCTCCTCCTACATCTTCACGTAAACATAGTCCTACACCCCTGGATGAAACAAGTAATTATACTCAAGTGCCACTCACCACTGTTCCTCTTTCAACATCTCTTTCAGAAACGCAACTAGTTTCTTCAACAGAACCATCGTTAGCCAGCTGTGGAACAACCTTACCTGGTGCAATAGCTCAACAAAATGCTTTTGTATATCTTCCGCTCGTTGACAAACAAGGAGTTTTGTTACCAATACATTTCACTACAGAAAAAGAGGTAAAATATGTTCTCAATTCCACTCTAAAGAATAAAGATAACCATTGCGAAGCAATTATGTTAGGTTATTCTTCAAGAACTATTTTTTTATGTCAATTTTTTTCGGCATAATCTGTTTGTAATAATGTATCAGCAAAAGTTGGATTGAACTGATTGACTGTATTGGACATTAACTAACGATATGTTTACACTGAGGATCTATGTAGCTGTATCTGAACTCCAAACAATATATATATATATATATATATATATATATATATATATATATATATATATAACGTTTGGAGTTCAGATGCACGTCATCTGTCGTCAATTGTTTGGTTTCAAAGCTCTGGCTATAGTTCGTATAATGGTAATATGAAATTTTGTCTAAAGTATGTCCAATGAAGTAAAGTGTATGGATTTTTTCATATTGACAGTCGACTTAAGATAACAATTATGAAAGCTAAGTTAAGCAGTGACCTTATACAGAAAGCTTTGTATAGCTAGTGGGTCGAGTTACTCGTATTTTTATTATTTGTCACATCACCAGGTCAACATCTAAGTATTTACAACTTTTGCCTATTGTAATATGAACTAGTCTTAGTAAGATGCTATTCGCTGTAACCCAATGCATCTTTATTTTGTATATAACTGTAGATTTCAAAATATTGACTGAAAGCCCCCTACTAAGTGAGTATCCGCTAATTTTTAGAAATCAGTTTAGAAGTTCGGTAACACATAAATTCTATCATTATTCCATCCCAATGAAAAGTCCTCATCATAGTACACATCAGCCAACATAATTTTGAAATATAGAGCGAGATCACCGTTACAAGAACAAAGTCCATTATTTCACATAGTCTATTTTGATAAAAATGACTGACCTATAAGTAAATCAGGGTAGCGAAAGTTTTTACCTTTTTATAATTCGCCGTAAAATGTTAACAATCATATGATACCATAAGAATTGGCGAAGAAATCAAACTTTTCTTCTGTATTTTCTCCATTATTGTCTAGAAACGACCAAATGTAGTTCTTGGTCGATTACATAAACTTGTATTTGGTAATGAACTTGCATTTTTAAAATGAGATTATTATTATTACAGGCTAGAATGTCCCATACACTTCTTCAAGAATGGTTAGATGTGGTATGTACAAGACGGGGGTTACCGCTTGCCCGATTACGATTACATGCAAAACATACACTTGTTGATAACATGGTAGAAGAATGGCTAGATTCCTATCGTTCGTTAGCAAAATTATCTACAAATAGTAATCCTATTACATTAACTACGCCATCCAATATCAATAATATCAACGCCACCACAACTACTATTTCTTCTATTACTGGCTCTACAACAATTCAGCATGCTCATCTCGTCAGTGAACATTCATCATCATCAAATTCCATATCATCTGATACAGATCAAGTTGAGTATACTTCAAAATCAACATCATCATCTTTAGATGCACTACGCAGCTCTAGTCCCTAATCTTATTATAAAACTATATGTTGCTGATAATTTATTTGTTGTGAAAATTGGTCAAGTTTATATTCAAGGAAAATGTCAACCAACTACTTGCTTTTTAATATATTGTGGCTGTGATACATTATATTCTCTTGTTTGTTTGTTTCGTTTTGTTTTTCGTTAATAAAAGGCTGTCCACTTCCTCACTGTATTCCACTTCTTCTTAAAACTCCTCTAAAAATATTCTTTTTAGTGGGCCCATTTCATTTTCTTTTCTTCTATTTCTTGTGTGTATTTTTATTCATTTACTGTTATTATTCAACAGATATATTTACTCTACAGACATAATAAACATGTTTGTAATAATAACATGGAATTGTTTTAATTTTTCTTTTTAATCTTTTCAAGTTTCAATATAATATTAAACTAAAATCAATTACGCACATGTGTATAAGTAGAGTTTATTAGTTAAAAAAAAGATTTGATAAAATCATTCTTTCTCATCTGTATAATGTTAAAGTGTTTAAATATTCGTTATTCATTTACCATTTTTATTTTGTATAAGTGTGTATTTGTCCGGAGGCGTTATTTTGAAAGTTCTTATTTTATTTATAGAATGTTATTATTAGCATTATTATTATTATTATCCTCGGTACTCTTCCTCTTTAGTTTTATTCATTATCTATTTAGTGAATTACTTTGTCATTTTGTTGTAGCAATTGTGTAACAGTCGAATTAATCTTATTTTTCATTTGAAAATCATAATGTTTTTCTATTAGCATATTTTGATTTGTTTATTTGATAGCAAACACATACATATACAAATATAGAATAATTTACCACTATTTTTTATTATTTACATAAATTTCTCAAAGATTACTATTCTTATCACATTGAAATGGTTGTTTTTATTGTTAATTAAATATGAGAAATAAATAGCAAACTAGAATTTTTCTTGTATTTCATTTTTTCTTGCACAGGGATTCTAATTAAACACGTTAGTTGTAGATGTTCTACTACGAATAAGATTCTACTTTAATTACTAATATACACTATGGATAAATAGATTTTAGATATTGTGTAATGTTTATTGCTATCTGTAGTGGATGATACAATATATGGTAGAGTTTGCAATGCTACTGTCGTTGCCACAGGCATACATCCATTGCATACAGATTGATATAATCTACAGATCTCTATAAACTTCAACAATTATCTGAACATCATATCTGGCCTATGATTGCTAATAATTTATTTGATGGGAATAAAACTTTATAAACACTTAACCAACGTAAAAACAATGAGTGGGTTGGGAACACAGTAATTTAGTTAGAAGACTTAAACAAAGGAGCACTTTTTCACACTTAAAACTCCCAATATAGATATTTTATGAAGTTAATTCATGCTGCCTTCATTAAAAAAAAACCTATTTTGATTTTATTTATGAGTTTAGTCATAGAGTGTTATGGTTTTTTATCATAATCCGTCTGAAGTTTATCGTCAATTCTGTACTTTAGTTGCATCATATACAAATGAATTTCAACGATTAAAATTCAGTTTCGTTTTAACGTTTCACCTTTGACACATGATTTATTTTATGAAATAATTTCTGAATATTAGAATCCATTTTTTTGATTGAAATTTACATATTTACTTCTCTATTTTGGAAGTATAATTTAGCTTAATACTTTTATCATTATTTAGTTGTATTGTATCGTCAAATGTCAATTTGATAGTTTATAACGAAAGTTTATCATAACAATAGATTTAATATCTTCAACACAATAATTATGTTATCCTTAATGTTTCACAGAACAGAAAGAATTTGTACTTCCGATACATTAGAAGAGGAAGTTATGAATGTTAAAAAATGTTTAAAGAATAACGGATACCCACTGAAATTTATTGAAAAATACGGCAAATATGAAGATAAAAAACCGAAAGAAATTACAGCAAATAAAAAGCCTATTTTTATTCAACTTCAATTCAAAGATGACGACATCACAGGATCAATCAATGTGAGACTAAAAACTGCACTGACGAGAACTTATCCTGCAGCGAAATTGATTGTCCTGTCCAAAACAACATGTTCTTTGACACAATCAAAGGTCGACAGGTATCCCTTTCATGTTACCACCAACTGTGTATACAAATTTACATGTACCTGCCAAAGCAGTTACATTGGTAGAACAGAAAGGAGAGCCTACGTCCGATTCAAAGAACATATTCCGAAAAGTTTAAGGTTAAATGGATTGAACGCATTCAACAGTGCTATCGCAAGACATCTCCTTGATACAGGACATGAAGTTGATATACTGAAGTCCTTCAAGGTGATTAACAAACAATCAAACTCCAACCTTTTGAAATTCGCTGAAGCGTTAGCAATCAAACGTTTAAAACCAGATCTATGTATACAAAAAGAGACAGTAATAAATCTTTCTTTACCCTGATAACAATAATCCCCACACTTTCTATTCATTTGCTCCTATTTATTTATTTATTACGTCATTCACTATTCCAACTCTTTCTGAAGTTTAAATTACATCATACATAAATGATTGGTTTTAATTCATATTTTCTTTATTACTATTAATCTATTTTCATGAGTTCTAATCACTATTTCAATGTTCCAGAACTTTCCCTCTCTAACTTTATTTATTTATTCGAATCAACACATTTTATGAGCTCATTAACTCTATATGAATATTTTCTACATCATCATACACATGTATTGATCCTTAATCACACTTAAACAAATGTCAATATCTGTTATAATTTGAATTTCAAATAATTTAGGTTGTAAGCAGCTGATGAGAACCTAACGAAATAAAATGAATTCATATTATTCTGCATCAATCTTTGTTCGTGCTCTATTTATGATAATAAAGGGAACTATGTGTATGTAATTTGATTGAATTTACTCATTAATTTGAATAAAGTACAAACTACACGATAATCTATTTAGTCTTATAAAATATTTGAATTAGTTACTAATTTCAATTATAAATCATAAAACTTAAGGAAGTTATTTTAAGTTAATTTCAAACATAAATCCTATAATAATTTATTTCTATTTGACACACCTATTGTAATCAATAATAGAAGTATTACTGTCTTACATCTAACATCTAACCTTGATGTAGTTTCAAATTTACAAATATATTGTCCAAAAGTATAAATTATCTAAAAGGTATATGAATATTTGTTCATGTAGAAAGTTTTATCATAACAAGACAAGGTAATTAAAGCATCTTACAATGTAAAGGTCTAGGGTTCGAGTTCCATATGCGGGATCGTGGGTACGCACTGATGAGGAGTGCCACAATAGGATGACATGGCCGTCCAGTGCTTTCAGGTTTCCATTGGTGGTCTACCATTGATTCATTCATGATAACAGTCTAAATTCTTAGAAGTGCTATTCTTACGAAAAATCAGAAAGCTTTAATAAGTACACATAGTAAAACACATCTATCGCCTTGTTAGTCTTAATTTATTGGTTGAACATGCGCTAGTTCCGTACAATTTTCTTTTGTACCACAGTATCATGTCATAAACTAACTATTCTACTCCATTTTCCATTCGGTCCCAACGTCGGCAAATAATGGATGATGTGTAAGCCGCTATGATGATTTTCATAGAAGTTCTTTAAGCCATCAAAGCCGGGGTTTCAAGTTGATGACACTAACTGCATTGTCGTGGCTGCGTTGCAACGCTCATTGCTGAACTATGACATTATCAACATTGTGTTGCCATTCGATGTCAGCAATCTTTCGGAGATAACGACGATAAAACAGAGATTCGCCTAACATCCTTATCTGGGATAAGCCATATTTCGCAAGCCTAGAGCAGAGGTGCTGCGGCAGATGGGATATGAATCCACGCTTGTAGATTGATATAACCTGCCTGAGGTTTGATTATGCGTAGGTTGACCTCACCAGCCAAGAGACCACTAACACACACAACTATTCACATGAGATCATCCTTAATTAACGTATACGGATTTCCCTCACTCACTATCGGAACTTAGTTGCTAATAGTATATTTATTTGTATAAATCCATGTTATTTTACCAGTTAACAATTAAAAGTTTAATGTTCAAGAGAAATTCTGTGGTGGGTTAATGGATTAATTACATGGAATTACAGAGACCTTGATAAGAAACTATTTTCTTTGGATAAAAATAAAGAGTATTCAGCGAAGAAAATTTTGTTGTTGTTGACAAAATCATTTACTTAGGCTGTACATTCGTATTTATTTTACTACTTGTAATATTAAAGAATAACTAGGATGTGCTGGATTTGGAAAATATTTAAATTTTTTGTAAAGATCAACTCAATTTTAAGATGAACTCAATTTAAACATAAAAAATATGATCAGTGTACACATTTAAAAACAGACAATAAATAAAAACATTTCAGTTAGATATTAAACTTATTTTAAACTAATCCATCTTTATAAACAAAATATTTAAATTACCTTTGAAAATAATGTCGACTTGATATGACTATTTTTTAAAAATTTTATTCAGTGTAAAGTCAGAAAAAAAAAGAAACAAGCAAGTAATTGATTATTTTGTTTACCATCAAAGCAAGACATTAAGTTATCTGAAAATTGTTTTATATCATAAACGAATATCCTTTTGGAAAGAAACAAACAAGCAAGCAATGTATGAACCATCTATTCAAACTATATAGAAATCGAACCTATGAACTGACAACAAATAAAATCAAAACTCTATGCATCTTATATATAAGAAATACAATCATTTTAGACCAATGATTTCATCTTAGTTATGATTAGGAAACCACAATAACAATTTACATTGAAGTGAATCAACTAAATATGCTGAACTTTTGTGAAGATGCACATAGAAACGCTACGAGTTAATAACGGAATGAACATTTTAAAAAAAGATTAGTAATATATTGAGCTTTATAAAAAAAAATTATTGACAATACCAAAAATATATTATTGACAACAAAACAACAACACACAACTATAGTCATAATGTAAAAATCAAGCCTTTAATAGAAAATTACTATGTATTATGCAAATTATATGACACCATTTGAAAGTACAAATTCTATCATCCCATTTGATCATATGATTATTGATTTCCTTAATTTTTTTTGTGTGTGTAATATCAGAACGAAAAAAAAATCTATTCTAAACTCACATCACATGACATTTTTATGTGCGTCCGTGTGTGTGTGTATGTGTGTGTTAAATTCATTTAATTAATGACTTATACATACTACGTTAAACTAATTACCTTTTTTTTAAAAAAAAAAACTGTGCTTAGATTTAAAGTAACGATTTTACTGTTTTATATGACCATTAGTGGTTTTATTCAAAAATATAAAAAAAAGCAAAAGTTCTATCACTTTCTCATTTTATTACACAAATTCAAACAAGAAATCTTAGATAGTAAATAGATTTCATTCATTAAAAGAAAACAAAAAAGTACTATGTTGATTCTTGTGTTAGGTGTGTTTTTGATCATAGAAAAGCAAAAAAAAAAATAATCACATACTCAATAATACTTGAATATTAGTCTGTAATGAATTAATCATTACACTAGAAATTTATTGAAAAAATTCAAAATACACTCTATATTTTAGTTAAGCATTTGCGCACTGCTGAGGAGTCCCATACTAGAACGAAACGGCCATCCAGTGCTTTTAGGTTTTCAATGGTGGTCTAGCTTCAACTGACTCATGATTGCAATCTGTGAATATTTACAAACAGTTGATTTGTCACATTGATATCAGCTGAAATAGTATTGAAAACTGGAAAGCAGTGAATGATTTTTTTTATAGTTTGTTTTGAAGCTTCTTGACAAGAAGTGTTCAAGTAAACAAACGGGATCGTGCATTAAGATGTGGTGATGAGCACAATGATTTTGAAAGGTTGTTTTGGTTTTTGTCTGTATATGTTTTCAATCAAATTCAGCTTTAT